GTTCCTTGAGAAGAATTCTTAGCCTCTCTGCGTCATGGTCCTCTCTCTAGTCACTAAGAAAGAAATCACATTTGAAATTAGAAGAAAAAACTCATTCTGAAGGTTTTGTGAAATTTATGTTTGTCTTAGAACATACACTCCAGATACAATTAATGAGGTTAAAAATATCTGGCTAACTTCTTAGAACTATTAAAAACAAATTTTTCAATTGACTTGAGCTTGTATACTTTTTGTTTTCTCAAATATAAAGGGAGTGGAAAAGAAAGTGAGCTTTTTTCCCCACACACTTCGCCAATGCACATTGTGATCAATTGAGTTAATCTGCACCATTTAATAGGAGAATATATTTGTATTAATCACAGACATTCATTTTTTATAGAGAGATTCAGAGCAGCCCTGCAGAGAAGGACTTGGGGGTGTTGGTTGTTGAGAAAATGAACATGAGCAGGCAGTGTATGCTTGCAGCCCAGAATGCCAACCATATCCTGAGCTGCATCAAAAGGTGTGACCAGTAGGTCAAAGGAGGTGATCCTGCCCCTCTACTCTACTCACCTGGAGTATTGTGTACAGTTCTGGTGTCCTCAACATAAAAAGGACATGGAACTGTTGGAACAAGTCCAGAGAAGGGCCACGAGGATGATCAGGGGACTGGAGCACCTCCCGTATGACGACAGGCTGGGAAAGTTGGAGCTCTTCAGCCTGGAGAAGAGAAGACTGTGTGGAGACCTCATAGCAGCCTTCCAGTATCCAAAGGGGGCCTATAGGGATGCTGGGGAGGGACTCTTCATTAGAGACTGTAGTGACAGGACAAGGGGTAATGGGTTAAAATTTAAAGAGGGGAAGTTTAGATTGGATATAACAAGGAAATTCTTTCCTGTTAGGGTGGTGAGGCACTGGAATAGGTTGCCCAGGGAGGTTGTGAATGCTCCATCCCTGGCAGTGTTCAAGACCAGGTTGGACGAGGCCTTGGGTAATATGGTTTAGTGTGAGGTGTCCCTGCCCATGGCAGGGGGGTGGAACTTGATGATCTTAAGGTCCTTTCCAACCCTAACTATTCTATGATTCTATGATATACTGGGAATTCTTACTGTTGTCCTTGTATTCCTGGACTGTTTGGAAAAGAGATGATAGAGCCTGACCAACACTATACAGAAATGTAGGCAGAGGTGACGGGAGAGTAGCTTTTGGGAGCAAGGAAGAAGGCTGAAAGGAAGAAAAGAAACCTGCACCGCTTCATCAGGTTTGCAAGAGCAAACCCATAAATTTGATGAGAAAGCAAATCTATGAGAAACTAATTGTGATTTTGGTGCAGGTGGCAACACTACCTCCTTCCATTTCTTCCATAGCTTCTTCCCCTCTCATCTGAGGCATGAGATTTTTACCGTTTGCTCCAGATGCAGAGGTTCTGGACTATGTCCCATTTTTCTGCAGGCAGCCACCTGTGCCTACCACTCAAAACCAGACCCTAATTCACATCTGTCTACCTCTTGGGCAGGTTGGGATCTTCCTGTTTACCTTTCCTCTAGCAAGAGAGAACGCACATTTTACGCAGGTTGTTTCTGCAAATCTAGTACAGGGACACATGCAGAGTATGTACATGCACACAAATACCTATAGACATGCAGATGTCCTGACTTCCCTCCAAAGAGGATTGGCTGAGCAGGAGGCATGAACAGCCTCCTCGGCTGAAAGCAGGCAGTCAGCCCTCCAGCACAAACCAAGCTCCCTTCAGTTTGCCAGCTCAGGCAGCTGTTGGCAGCTAGATCCGTTCAATGAAGTTACTAAGTAATATGAAGGTAATATATACCATTCCTTTGACATTCAGAACCTGCCTGAGGTGGGGTTTTAATGAACAAAATAGAGTAGATAAGCCTTCCAATACTGGAAAAATACTAACATTGTAAGAATTAAGCTGTAAATAAACCATGTCTCTGATGCATCAAGTAATGTTAGCATAGTAGATGGCAAAGGGTATGCCTGGACTGCCATTTCCTCCGTCTATTCAAATAGATGAGAGCGGTATGTGATAGCATCCTTTTGTCCTGGACAATCTGTAGCCATACAGCCTGACAACCCTCTCTCACATCCTTCCCTCTCCCCCAGCTCAGGACCTTGCTATTTTTCCCAAGCATGGCAGATCTGCGCACAATTTGCCAGGTACAAAGCCTGATACACTGATACAATAAGCGATTTTCGAATAGCAACAAGTTTAAATTTTACTGGCACAAACACTGCTGGCCTGAGCCCAGCTTAAACTAGTGTTGTCTGCAAACAGCAGCATGAAAAGGTTCTTGCAACTACTCTGTGATAGCAGCTTCCCCAGCCTCTTCAAGAATCTGATTTTCAGGATTTACAGTTAATAAATCCATATAAAGCATGTTGCTTTCCCTTGCCTTGTTATGCACAACAGCTTTCTATTGCATTCTTACAGATGACTGGCACCTTGCCAACATCTGAGGCATTATTTGAGCAGACAGTCTAGGAAGTTTATAAGAACAGTGAGCTTTATGTTTGCTCAGTGACACCAAGTATATTTGTATACTTATTACAGACAAACAAGTTGCTGTTCATCACCAGACTTTCACCTCTGTGAGTAGCTTTCATATGAATGTGAAATGAGAGACATTTCTGTTCAGTCCTGGTCACACTCTGTGCTGCATGGAAATGAAAAACAGCACCAGGATTCTTGTCTTACTAGCCTAAGCTCCTAAAGGAGAATTCAGCCTCAACTGTTCAGTTTCTAGGTGACTTATATATTGATGTAAGCAGGTACAGGACACATGAAACTGTATTTTGACAGCCAAGTGCAGATTAAGTTAAATTTCAGAGACACAGACAAAGCCAACCAGTTGAAAGAGAAAACAGTTTGTCAACTTAAGTAGCAGCGACTGAGGACAAACTGTATGAAATGCCTCAGTAACTTAAGTTAAGGCCCTCATCTACAATTAGTCCCAGTGTGAAAGGGGAGGATATAAGTTAGAGTTGCAAGCAGTCAAGAATTTTTCATATACCACTGACACTTTAATCAGCCTATTCTACAGGCAGACCTAGAAAATGTTGTAATCAAAGCTGTGCAAAGATTGTCCAGTGAAGGCTCTGGCCTTCAAAACTTTTAAAAGAAAAGCAAGAAAAAGTATTTTAAAAAAACCCAAGAGATTAGATTTGCAATCACAGTGCAGAAAAGAAAAAAAAATATAAAATCACCAGCAGAACTTATCCCCTTATGAAATTCTTAGTTCCTCAATTTCAAAGTCTTCAAGTAGCAAGAGCTAAGGAACCCCTTGCTAGCTAAGCCATCATCTCAGTCTACTTCATTTTTGTTCAATAATTTCTGATCTTAAGTATCCAACTATGAATTCTCTTTCAACTGGTTTTCTTTTATCTTAAATCTCTCAAGCAGAGAAACATCAAAATCATTCAGTTTCTATTTCCTTTGTTTTAAATAACATCACCTTGTTCTTCCTTGATACAGATATTTCATTTTTCAAACAAACCAATAAAAAAAAAAAAAAAAAACTTCAAGGCCAGCAAAAATTAGGGTAGAAGCAAGGGGGGAAACAAACCCAGAAAATTTCAACTATTATTTCAAAACTTCTCCATTTCCTGAGGTAAAAGTTAATTTTGAAGGGGTTGTGTTTTTTTTCATACTGAAAATGATCATTTACTTTAGGGATAAATACAGAAATGAATTATCTATAGTTAGTAATTTCTGAAATAAATATTACAATACTAAATGGTCTTTCTTTGCATCACAAAGATTTAAACTGTGAAGTACACAAGAGATTGCTTTCTAAAAGAATACTCAGGTTATTTTTTCCATTGTAATTGACTTTATAAGCAGTTATTCAACACACAAAAATACTTGCAGGGTCAAGCCCTGAACTAAAAACCAACCACCCACCCAACCAAAAAAAAAACCAACAACAAAAAATTATATACACAAAGCATCCTTTAGAAATTCACTGCAGATGTCAGAAAATGAAATTACTTCATTTGGTGTTTTTTCAAGCATGTTGATGTTTTTGTATCGTCTAAAACAAATAAATCATGACAACCTCCACCTACATTATCTCATTTTTGTTTTTGATGACAAAAATCCAACATCCCTGCTCATGACACATTATACCCTTGTGATGCAGTGTGAGTTTTAAGCAGATAAAGACAACTTGGAGAGCACCTAAAGCACAATGGTGTTGACAGTAATGCAGATATGGATTCTGAATGTGGAAGCTGCTCTGCTTCTGGGACTGGGTTTTTGTTAGCGCTCCCTGATCTACCACTGTACAAGGAATCACATCACCACAAGGCATGGACAAAAACCTAGTATCAGAAGTACAGCTTCCACATTCACCAGTCGATCCTGTAAGGATAAAGCTAATTCCCAGTGAAAGGTTTGTCAGAGTCTTGCTTATATATTGTCAGATCATTGCTTATATTTCCTACATGGGATTTACCCAAGTGAAGTTAAGAGCTCATGCTTCACCTCCACTGGGATTCTATACACAGGCTACATATTTCACAGGGTTTGTTTTGTTGTTGGTTTGTTGTTTTTTTCTTAAAGGAAGAAGAAGAAAAAGAAAATTTACTCATCTTTGCTGTGAAAGCTCATACACAGATTGAATTTGAGAAATGTAAACTATTATTCTTCACAAGAGATAAATGGTTCCTGACCTCTACAGAATTGTATGTGCCAGATTTGTTAATGTGTGAGATTTTAGCACCATACAATACATATAGACTTCCCTCACTGTTTTGTATCAGTGGCTTACTTCACTGATTTTCCTCAAGCTCTGGTAATCTACAGCCTGTACCTAGCCGGACAGCACATTGTGATCTGACTCCTACTGTTCTTTGCCAAAAAGGAAAATTATCTGGTATTTGCTGACCATTTATGGACAAAATGGCTCTCTTGTGTTACATGTCAACATCCATAGGCAGATTTCCTAGTCTGTTAGCACTTGTCATTAAGTAGGTTACTTATACAGCTAATTGCTAAGTACTTTTAGAAGCTGGTAGCGACTCTCATCACACCTCTGCAGATCACAGGACAGGGCTCACCATGGAAGCGCAGGGAGAATAGAGCTCCCTCCTCACCTGAAAAGTAAGTAAAACTGTGAGCAGAATATAGTCACGTAACCAGCATTTCCTGAGCAAGGGGACTAAGTACAGTCATGTGTACATGAGATAAAAAATAGCACCTGAAGGACAGTGAAAGTTAATCATGCTGTTACCCTAGTGGGAAGAAAAGCAATGGAGGCCTCTAAGGCCACAGTGACACTGCAAGGACAATGACCACGATCTAAGAATTTACATTTCTTACTGTTGCTTTTACCCTGTACTCACTCATTTGCAAACAAGGAAGATTTCACAAAGTAAACACTTGGTTTGTATCACATTGCCAGACCCTGAATTTTGGGTCATCACTCACAACAGATGTTTTTAACTGTTGCATCTTAATTCACATAGAATTTTAAAAAGCTGCTCTGTTCACAATGACATCTACACAAATGTAAGGACATTCTGAAGTTCCCTTGAGTCAGCACTTAAAAGCACTACTGGCTTTAAGCTAGTTCTGAGCCATTCCAGATAGAGCTCAATTTAACCAAATGCCAAAGCAATTTGATGAAGTGGGTCTTATGACTATCTAATTGGGCCTTACAGAGTGCCTAAACCAGCACATTTAGTTGCCAGCTCTCTAGACAAGCCCTGGACTTATATTTTATATGCATCCCAGGGTTTTAGTGGAAGAATCTAGGACAGGACCTGGAAAGTCACGATCGTGGGGATGCCAACATAATCCAAATCTCAGTACCTTACATGACTTATGCACAGCACTCACTTATTCTCACCTATAATCAAGAAGAAACACTAGCCTTTCAACATCATTTTATAAAGAGCATAAAAGGTTAATAGATTAAGCAGAGAACAATTATACCACTGAATGAGAGATTTTTTTCACTGCAGATATGAGTGACAGTATTTCATAAAATGTACAAATTATGACTAAAACCCCTGAACACCAACTTAATTTGTCTAGGCGAAAAATTCAACTGGCAAGTGCCATTCATCCCAACCAAATAACTTCCACACTGGTAAGCAAATGACAAGATAGTAAAGGAAAATATAATTTAAAGTGTTTTTCCTTCCCATTCCAATGAAGCACAAAATCTGAATCCCACTTCTGCTCTCTCAACAACTTCTGCTATTATTGCCACTGATCAGGCACTCCAAAGAAGTGAATTAGTTGCAAGTAATACATTCATTCACATTTTTTCTTCTTGGCTGCTGTTCATTTGGTCTTCAATATACTATACAATATTAAATTGTCAGGATATTACTTAACATTATGCCATAGAGAAGGGTGTGTTAGAAGAAGAGAGCTTTTCACAACTTAGTAGATTTTCATGTGAAAAAGCTGTTTGCAAGCAATTTGAATGGGGAATGCAAAATATTCCTGAAGGATTTCAAAAGGTTAAGTCTGTGTTTAACCTTTCACCATACCAGGCCAAGTCCTTACTGAATACAAATCACTGGAGCTCTATTTCAATCAACAAAGCCAGTTCAGAAATCAGCCTTTTTCTCTCTTTCCAAATCCTGCCAAAAAACTTGGTATATAACGTTTGTTTTTTTCAGATCCCCTTCTTCAAATTTGGCCTTCAGAAAAAGCTCAGAGAATCCATTTGAATACAGCTCAGACTTGGGGTATTTTAGTGGATTTGCATTTCCTTGCAACCTTTAAGGCTACTGGGGGGGGGGGGGGGGGGGGCAGAAAAGGCAAAAAAAACAGCTCCTTTTATTAAAACATCGAAGTCAAAGGAATAAGCATAAAATCTTGGCATGTAATAACAGTTTTACAAACAACACACTTTCAAGTATACCAAATACCCTCTTTTAAACAGAAACCAGATGTACAACCCAGGTATTTTCTTCAACACCGACTAGCCCTGCACAGGTTCTGCAGGCACTAAAGCCAAGCACAGCTGCACATATCTTTCGCTCACTATTGCCTGTGCACTTGGCAGCCATTTATTCGTTATTTTAAAGATGCAGGGTCTAGAAGATGAAGCCTCAGGAAAACCCTTTGGCAGCCCAGGGCCACCCCCACCCCTCCTTCCCTCGCACCGCTCACCCTGGGGAGAGGGCCAGCACTGAGGCACGGAGTTGTTCCCCCTCTTCAAATAATAATCAGCACCACATTCAGCCTTTCCAAACTCTCTTATTTCTTGCTACACAAAACCAAAAACAAAACTTTAAAAACACGCCCCAAAAACCCACACAAAAAAAACAAACCACAACCACCCAAAAAAAACCCCAAACCAACAACACAACCTCCCTCCATTTCTTTGTCTGACTTCGGGGCATCACCACAGGGCCAGCTGCATGAGGAACCCGGCAGCTAAGCAAACCAAAGTAAAGCCCAGCTCCACCCACTGACAGCCACCATCTTCTCACATGAAGAAACCCATAAGGCCACCCCTGACACCGAAAGCTGAGCTTCTTCCTCTCTGACATTCACCTGAAGCAGAGCTCCGCAGGTGCAGAGGCCCCAGGCAGGCGGGCTGCCAGGGTACGCTCACAGCCCACAGCAGGAGGTCGGTCCCTACTCACAGGCAGTTTGAGCGCTGTTAAGCAAGGTGCAAAGTGGGGTGAATTTGTTCTTAAAAAACAAACCCAACAACTATAGCAACAGCTGAAACTACAACTGCCAGGAGCACATTTTCCTGGGCATGAGAAGAAAAGGACAACACAGTGAGGGGAGTCTAGATGCCTTTTGAGCTTGAAGAAGTTAGTCCCATGAAGCTACTCCTTAGTGTTTTACAGGGCTCCTTCTCTCCAGTTCACAAAGGAGCAGCCAACACTGGCAAGTTAAGTGAGGGGAGCGCTTCTCCAGGCCCATCACAACACAGTGCAGCACAACTGATTTTGAAAGTATCACTGACAGTGAAAGTTGCAAGTGCCACTGAAATGGAAAGCAAAACCATCTTGTTTGTAACACTGAAGCAGCCATGAAAGCATCGGCTGGCTTGTTCTTCACTCCAGCCTTCGTTGCTCGCTGCTCTGGGATATTTCAACCTGATACTCCCACATGAGGGCTAGTGTTTTCAGCATCAGGCATCTTTCTGAAGCAGAGGGAGCTGTGCTCTTTGGTTAGTGGAAAGAACTCCACCCAAGGACAATGAGATTCCAAGTCATTAGCTCCTGTACCTCAGACAGGCACTGGCCATATTATGACCAGGGAATGGACGTGGCTGAGTGGCTTTAGTGACAGCTGAAGAGCTGAGGAAGATGTGTGGGGTATGCTTGGGGTGGTAAACCTCATTTAAAAATATGAGAAGCAGGAGTGTCTGTCATCTCTTTGAATACATCTTACTGAGAAAGAGAAAGGCTGGGACTGCTGCATGCTCCTACAGCCCTGTCAATCACACTGCTGTGTGTGGTCAGGACGTGACTGATGTACCCTGACAGAACATATCAAAATGCCAACAAAATTGAAACATTGGAGGTTTTTTTTTCTCACTGAAGATGTGACAAGATATGTTATTTTGAAATGCCATGATCTTTTGGAAAAAACAAAATTTAAGATTCAAAAGAGCATTATTTTTTTTTAACTTATGAGCCAATAATTACAAAGTTGAAGAGCAGCATGGAAGCCATGTCCTGGCTTCAGCAAGAGCAGTCATTTTCCTCCTTCTTAGTAGCTGGTGCAGTGCTGTGTTTTGACTTTCAGCCTGGGAACAGAGCTGATAACAATGATGTTTTAGTCTGGCCAAGGACTTTGTGAGCCTCATGCTCTGCCAGGGAGGAGGAAAAGCCAGGAGGAAGCAGAGACAGGACACCTGACCCAAACTGACCAAAGAGGTATTCCATACCACAGCACGTCATACCCAGGATGTAACTGGAGAGTTACCCGGAAGGGCTAGTGCACTGCGGGGTTGGACTAGGTATCGGTGGGTGCTTGGTCGGGCTGGGGGGGGGCCAGTTATCAGTCGGCTGGTGGTGAGGTGTTGTATTCTCTTCCCTTGTTATTTCCTTTATCATTATTATTATTGGTGGTAGCAGTAGTGATTTGTGTTATACCTTAGTTACTAAACTGTTCTTATCTCAACCCATGGGAGTTGCATTCTTTTCGATTCTCCTCTCAGTCCCTCTGGGAGTAGGGGAAGGGCAAGAAGGGTGGGAGTAAGTGAATGAGCTGTCTGGCTGGGTTTAAACCACAACAGCCACCATCTTCTAATCTGATGACTCCAAACCTCCAACACAGACCATGAAAAACTAGCAGAATAAGAAAATAAATCCTCACATAACCCACACCTTCAAGAAAATAGCAAGAAAATAAACTAGCTAATTGTACTAAGGACTGGGATAGTGGGATACCTGGGGGAGAAAAGGCTCTCATGTAGTCAGGAAAAACACATGAAAACATCTAGGTTATCACTTTAAAGCCATGACAATACGTCAGGTTTCATAAAGAATTAATTTACCAGCATGCAACCTGAGACTCCAGATTTAACAGGGTACTCTTAAACATTAACAATTTCAGTCTATAGAACACTCGGAAAATGAAACAGCTTATAAACCATTCATGTGTTCAACTCTATTTCAAAGACAAATCATGGTGAATGATCTTCTGGTTGCTTTGTTTCTATAGTGGTTGCTTTGTTTCTATAGGCTCAGCCTCTGACATTTATGATTGTAGTTTTTACATGATTATCATTTGAAAACTAACAAACAAGCACCCTTGGAGAGAAGACCAATACAAACACATCAGAAACATGAGAAAATACCATTACAAAAGCCAACAAATAATGATGTCAGCACATTCTTCTGAGGGCTTGGTCCTCAAGTGCCTCAAGCACAGACAGCTCCAGAGAACAGGCATTCACAGCTTTTTTTTTTAGTAATGGGACCCCCTTGACTGCAGGCAGCTGCTGCCACCTTTGGGAATGACAGCACCCCCAAACACTTGTGGCAACCTCAGCATGCCTTCCATACACTTATCCCATGTCCTATCCCTTCTGCTCCACTCACTGCCACCCTGTAACTCACTGCAGCCCTCAGTGGGGTGCACTCCCTGTCTTCCTTAGCTACCAGCA